ACCCCGGCTCCGCCCCGCCCCGCCCGAGTCCTCCCAGCCGCCGTCGGGCGCACGCGTGCTCCAGGCCGACCGCGCGGAGCCGCCGGCATCCGGACGAGGTGGCCGAGTGGTTAAGGCGATGGACTGCTAATCCATTGTGCTCTGCACGCGTGGGTTCGAGTCCCACCCTCGTCGGCGGGCTCCTTTTAGTTCGTGTCCAGCGGTACTTCATGTAACTTAAGTCTCTTGACTTCGTGAGAATCAAGTTTTTCTGTTCCACAGATATTGCTGTGATTTGCCTGGATTTTCACCCTCACGGGTAATTGGACACCATTATTAGGCGAGATGTTTCCTTGATCCTGTAATGAATTTCCTCCTGGTGAGTTTCCTCCCTAAAGAAGGCCTCAGGGACAGGGAGAGTGTGGCAGACAGGGAAGAAACTGGCTGCGAGAGGGAGAAGAGGTGACTCACCATGAAGACAAGATCAGCAGAAACACGCTCGGAGTAACAGACAACCCCGACAAACGTAACGAGGCAGAAAGCCGATTCCTTCGATTCTCAGAAACAAATTGACACCCAAAGACTGAAGAAACCTGTAGCACTGAAGTCATGGCCACAGGCTTTGAGCGAATTTTTAAGAAACCTGGGTTGTCATTTTTAAGTGATAACCACACAAACCAAAAATTTACTCTTACAAAGGTCAGGTCCTCTTTCCCAGGTCTTGGCCATGTTTACAAACCCTCAAACAACGGTGCAGAATTAAAGTGCACTCTTTGAACTGTACCTCACAAGCCCTTTTCACTTATATGCAGTCTTCCCTATCATCATTTTAATAACTTCGTGGTAGTCAGAGCAGTGGACATCGTAATCTGCTTTAGCCATTCTTCTATTTTTGAAATCAATTTTCTTGGTACTGGGGTTCGAACTCGGGTCTTTGCACTTGAGCAGCAGGCGGCAAAACCACTGAGCTAAATCCCCGGCCTGAAATCAATTTTTTTTTAGGAGAATTAATGACTTCAGATTGATTGTTGGAGAAGTAGTCAAAGACTTGAATAATTATTATAGTTTATATTTGCATAAAATTACATTATGCTATGTATTCATATGTATTTTGTCTTTTTTAAGTAGGATGACCAAAATTTTCTCAAATTCCATTCTCTAGTTATCCTTTTATTTGCATAAACCTATCCATCCTTAGAATAACTTACTGTAAAAATATTTTCCCGCTTTTTAAATCAGTTTTTAAATAATTCAGTCACAAAACATTTAAAATACACTGAAGCTGGGGCCAGGAATTTAGCTTAGTGGTTTCAACACCTGCTATGTAAGCACAAGGACCCGAGTTTGATCCCCGATACCAAAAAAAAAAAAAATACACTGAAGCTTGTTAGTATAAAACAGCCATGTAATTATCTCTGAATTTCTATTTATCACATATTTTAAATGTTTTACAAAACTTATAATTTTTAAATATTTTGCCGTGAAACTCTGCATGCACTGAGAAGTTCGTGCAACATATATGCCAACTCAAACAACTTCAAAGCCAACACTTGCATGGCTGTGACAGGGTCCAAGTAAAGGTCCCTCCCAGTCATACCCCCTCCCCTCCTCAAAGGTAACCCTAAACTGGCTTTCCCTGTTACTGCTACTTTGCTTTTTTTACTTCATTCTTAATTCTTCATTCTTAAACCAATACTTACCTATATCTGAACTTCATGTAAATAGGATGTATTTTCCCACTTTTCTATTAGCCATACTCAGTAGGCTTCATCACTGTTGCTATAGAAGTGATTTACCCACTTCTGTTTCTGTGTAGTTTGCCATAGTGAGGTAGGAGATGGAACAAAGACGAGCGAACAGCAAGAAGATGTGGGGTGAGGATCGAGAAACCACAAGGACAACGATGTCAAAAAATCAGTCAACAGAGGTCAACCTGTCCCCCCAGAGTCCCAGCCATGTGCAAACCCAGAAGCACGGACCCTGGTCTGCATCCAGCCTCACTTACATTGTGGTTTTGACCCCGCCGTGGACCCTGGGTGCCAGGACCTGCTTCTAAAAACCTTGTGTGGGGGAAAACTCCCCTCCCAAAGTTGAGCAGTCAGGGGTCCCCGTGGGCCAGAATCCCTGCCCAGCCCCAGCCCCAGCCCCAGAGCCTCCCGTAGCCCCGGCAGCAGAGATCCAGAGCTGCCCCAACTGGCCTGGAGCTCTCCGGGCTGGTTGGGTCCCACCCTGTGAAGTGCGCCTTCTTCACCATCTTGTCACTCCTCAGGGTGTCCTGCGAGATGACAACTCTGGACCTCCACCCGACAACAGTAGTGTGAATGTGCTACAATTTATTTATGCCTTGTATACATCGTCTGGGGCTGAGAAGCAAACCACCCTAAAATTTCCTTAAGACATTTATCATCCCCCAACTTGAGAGTCAGGATTCCAGGAGAGAAGCGGCTTGCTGAGCTTCAGCTCAGTGTTCCCCACAAAGCTCCAATCACGTCCTGGCAAGGGCTTCAGCCATTCATTGTAAGGCTAGAGGAGGGAGAGACTGGTGCCCCGGGCCTGGACACATGGTTGCGACGGGATGCCAGACTGAGGCTCTGCACACTCACCAACTGCTGTCCGGAGGTCACTCTCGGCCCCTTATCATTGGATCCCTCCACAGGACAGCTCGTCTCCCCAAAGCAGCAAGAGCCAGGGAGGGCGCAAGACAGAAGTCACCATCTATTATAATATCCTTGCAGAAGTGACATCCCATTGCTTTTACTGTTTTATTCTACTGGCCGTGATTAAGTGGGTCCAATCCACACTCAAGAGATCACATGGGACATGAATAACAGGAGCTGGGGTTCTGGAGGGACTGGCTGAGAAGCTGCCTACCACGCTCGTTGCAATGGTGATATTTATTTGTAGCTGTTATAAATTATGTTACTAGGAAAATTCTTGTTCATTTCTTCTGATACATACTTACATATGCAAAAGTTTGAGTCATAAATTATAGATATGCTGATTTTAGTAAAAAGGTGCCAACTTTTCCTAAAGCACTCTTATAGGCTTGCATCTTCCCAGCAGCTTGGGCATACTCCTGGTGGCCCGTGTCCTTGCCACCACCTAGCACGGTCACTCTGTAGCATTGTTTGGCATTCGTGTGGTGTTATAACACTGCTTGTTTAATTTCTATGATGGAAAAGTCCAATAGATCCAGCAGTAGAAAAAATGGCATAAAGAATGTGTTCCTGCACACCAGCTACTCACTTCAGAGTTACCAACACCTTATGGGAAAAGGATCATTGAGCTCACATTATTCCTCAAAGTATCTGTCCTGGTATTATGAGTAATTGCATTTAACATTATTAGCGATTCTGCAGTATTGCCTAATAATCAGATTAGTTCAAATTTCCTCAACTGTTTAAAAATGCATTTTACATTGACAACACCAAATGCTACTCGGGATATGGAACAACAAGAAACTCTCGCTAATTGCTGGTGGAAGGGCACCAAGGTCCAGCACTTCCGAGAAACTGGGGCGACAGCTGGCAGTGGTTGCCAGTGCTAGGGCCTGGGGTGAAGGATGGAAAGACAGAGAAAATGGTGCACTGTCTAACCGAGTGTGTTTTTCCTACTGGGTTGGGGATGCAGGCAAAATGGGTGAGACAGCTGCAGTGATGTCAAGCTGATCCCTACAAGGGGCCACGTGCGCTGGAAGGAACCTAAGGGTCCTAGTAGTGGGCTCCATTCCAATCTTCCAGTTCCTCATTTTTTTCATATTCAAAATATTTTACACCTTTCAGATTCTTGAGACAATAAGTGAGAGAAAAGATGTGAAATTGTAGGCTTTCCAAGATACGAGAGCCATGTTAACATGTGGCTCTCCCATTCAGAAAGACACACAGGAGGGTGTCAGCTGCAGAACCAGGCCTAAGGGGAGCGGCAGGACTCGTGGGCCTTAAAATCCAACAGCCTTGGTACAGGCCTAAGAATATCGAAAGCCACCAAATAAGCATATCCCTGCGGCAAGCAGACTCGGGAAAGTGGTGAGAAACGTACGTCTGGAAACTTAGTTCTACAAGTCCCTCGGTTTGGGTGCTAAAGGCGGTGGAGAAGTGTAGAAAGGAAAATGTGCACCCAGGAACCTGCTCCTCTGAAACAGTGGCAGAGTTCGGGAGAGTCTGGAAAACAAACGCTAAGCAATCATTAGAAGATTCTTTGCTATAAGCTTCCCATGTGCTGTGAAGAACCGAATGAAGCTATGAGAATGCAGACAGTGGGGCCTCAGCCTGATAGGTCAGGAGAAACATCTCAGGGTTCACTGCCACAGCTGCGGACCGGAGGCGCGCAGAGCACGCAGCAGTTTCTCACTGACATCTGCTGACAGGGCTGGGCACCTACTCTCGAGAAGTCCCCATTTTATTAGGGCTTACAAAGTTTTGAATTAAGTATTTGGGCGGTGATATGAGCCAGGAGAAAAAGACTCACAAATTTTCATGTCTACATAGTATCGACGTAGTGTTAAGAGATCTGTAACAAAATATTGACTTTTTCAGTTTTACATAGTAAAAATATTTCCCAGTTTGTCAGCTCTGTTGCTTGTTTGCTGGCATGTTTAAACATTTTAAGATCTCTTTTTTGCGTATTTTTTACATTCAGAATGAAATTCAGAAACACACATTAAAGGAAATCATTTTCTGTTTCCCATTCTGCAGAAAGAACCACCAACGCAACTGTGGACCTTGCTCTTCATTAGATGCAGTACTCGTTTGCATCCTCACAAACCAGGTGAGACAAGCCACAGGTAGAGGAACACGGGACACCGGCCATTTACATTAAAGGGAGCAAGGAGAGTCCACATTTGTATTTTCTTCTTTTTATAAATACATTCCAGACAAGTGCACAGGAAACTAGTAAGTGCGGCTTTTCCCAGTATGTCAAAGATAAGTCAGCCAGACACAAGTCAAAGCAGTGAAAACAGATTTTATTTAATAACGAACGGCCCTATATAACCGAGGCGTTCGGGTAGTGAAGGGGGGGGCGGGGCGGGGGGCAAGAGTCGGGGCGGTGAAAAATCACAAACAGTGAAAGTGGAAGAAGTGTTGGTCCTCGTGAAACCCACCTGGCCTTACCGGAGTTAGATGCCTGTCCCTCAGCAGAGGCCGGGCCTAAATTCAGATGCTGACTGAAACAGAGCATCCCCCTCAGGCAGGCTCCTGAAGGATGTGGGTCCGCCTGGGATGGGCTGTGGCTGTCGGTGTTTCTTCAGGTTAGGGGCTAGGGAGAGGGCTCAGAGGAGCCAAACTGGAGTTTCTGTCAAGTAAACTGGGAAAGCGGACAGCTGGCGACTGTGGGAACCGTGTATATGCAATCATTAAACCCCAGCAATGAAATAAAGTCCTAAGGGAAACCAATTCAGCTGCATTACCCGCAACGCCCACGAGGTGGCGACAACGTCATGGGGACAACTGGCAAGCAGGTGGGCGAGGGCCTGCAGTGCGCCCTGGCCTCACTGGACGGAACCGAGCAGCCTCTTCTGGGTCCTTGGGTTCAGGGGCCTGAATCTCCCCTAAGTGATGCTTGATTCCTCTCGGTGCTCCCCTGCTGACCATGAGAAACACGTCCATTAACCTGGGCCTTTTTAAACCTTTGCCGGGGGGTGAAAAGCGTGGTTGTGGAAGTACTGAAGCCTGGTACAGGCCGAGGCACTGGGATTACTGCACCCCAGGACCCCACCCAGGGCTCAGCGGTCACCCACATCAGTGTCCCTCGCGTACACACCACGCCAGGCAGGGGCAAGGCCCAGCACATCATCTGCAGCAGGAAAGTATCCACAGACACCTAACAGACGCGGATGTGGAGCTGCATGATAAAACTTCATACCTAAGGAAAAAATTTAATGATCGGAAACATTGTTCAAAACCTACCTAATACTTACGAAATCTCTGACTCAAATGTCTTTCTTACAATGGTTTGGTCTGAGTGTGAATCTCCACAGTTCCGCACACGGCATCTGGTTGCTATTCCTCTTAAATAAATTTTGATCCATAACATTTACCCACCCAATCTCTGAGTAGTTATGTATGCTTAAAAAAGGAACTGGCAGCCTACTATGGGTGGTAGAGACTAAATGACCATGGCTTGCCATGGCTTTTAGATTGTTTATTTGAAAACTGTAAGGGGAAAAAAATGTTTATTTTCTAAATAGAAAAAAAGTCAGTGAAGTCATTTTACATTTAACTTAAAAAGTTCTGAACATCTTTGAGTTTATTGTTGAAATATATAAAATCTTAGTTCCATCTGCAGTAAAAAATTTTTGTATCTATAGACAAAATATTAAAAGACATCTCAACACTATTATTCTGAATTAAGAAAAAGAAAAAAGAATGGGGAGTTTCCATCTACGCTAAAATAAGAAAAAAAGTGCAATAGAAGAATGTAATATTGTGGTGTTCCCTGAACTAAGGGAGAGAGGTGACTGATTAGGTTAAACAGAAAAGATATATATTAAATATCAAAGGAGAAAATACAGTAATCAAGACAGTTTTCCCAAAGTCAGTTATATAAAAACATTCCACCAAGTCATGAGCTTTTAAGAATTATTAGAACTTTATTTGTAGCCAGGCATGGTAGTGCGCATTTGTAATCCCGGTGCTCTGGGACCCTGAGGCAGGAGGATTCACAAATTCGAGTTGAGCCTGGGCAATTCTGGGAGATCCTGTCTCGAAATCAAAAAGGGCCCAGTATGAAGGCCCTAGGTTCAGTCTTCAGCATGGAAGGTGGAGGCTAAACAGGTTTATAAGTTTATAGTAGTTTGCCTCAATAAGTACAGTTAAAGTTATATTTGAGGCCAATCTCCCTAATGAACATAGATGCAAAAATCCTCAATAAGATACTGGCAAACAGAATGTAGCAAATCATCAAGGAGGTCATACACCATGACCAAGTCGGATTCATCCCAGGGATGCAGGGATGGTTCAACATACACAAATCAATCAATGTAATACGCTATATCAATAGAGCCAAGGACAAAAACCATGTGATCATCTCAATAAATGCAGGAAAAGCATATGACAAAATCCAACACTCACTCATGATAAAAACCCTACAGAAAATTGGAATAGTCTTTATCTCAATCTGGTAAAAGCCATATGACAAACCAACAGCCAACATCATACTAAATGGACAAAAACTGAAAGCTTTCACTCTAAAATCAAGAACAAGAGGGCCAGGAATATACCTCAGTGGTGCTGCTGCCTGCCTCACAAGCACAAGTTCCTAAGTTTGATCCCTAATACCAAAAAAAAGAATAAGACAAAGATGTCCACCATTCTTATTCAATATAGTTCTGGAAACATTAGACAGAACAATTAGACAACAGAAATAATAAAAAGAATAAGGTTAGGAAAGGAAGAAGTTAAATTATCATTTGCAAATGACATGATACTCTACATAGAATACCTCAAAAACTACCAAAATACTTCTAGATTTAATAACCAAATTCAGTAGCGTAGCTGGATACAAAGTCAACAATCAAAAATCAATAGCCTTCCTGTATATAAAAAATAAATTCAATGAGAAATTATGAAAACATCTTTCACAATAGCATCCAAACAAAATGAAATACCTAGGAATCAATCTAACAAAGGAAGTAAAAGACTCTACATTGAAAACTATAGTAGTCTGAAAAAGGAGATCAAAGAGAGTATTAGAAAATAGAAAGACATCCTTTGTTCTTGGGAAGGAAGAACCAATATAGTGAAAATGGCCATACTTTCAAAATTGTTACACAGATTTAATGCAATTCTGATCAAAATTCCAACAGCATATCCCACAGAATTAGATAAAACAATCCTAAAATTCATTTGGCACCAGAAGAGACCTAGAACAGCAAAGGCAATTCTGGGCAACAAAGACCAGGTGGGGGCATCACAATTGCTGACTTGAAATTATACTACAAAACTACTGTGATAAAAACAGTATGGTACTAGAAAACAAAAACAAAAACCAGATCCGAGGATCAATGGAACAGACTGGAAGATGCAGAAGCAACTCAAGACATACTCAGACACTTTATCTTTTTTTTTTTGTACTGGGGATCAAACCTGGGTCCTTATGCTTGCGACGAAACCACTGAGCTAAATCTCTGGCCCTCAGCCACCTTATCTTTGACAAAGGAGCCAAACACCTTCACTGGAAGAATGATAGCCTCTTTAATAAATGGTGCTGGAAAAATTGGCTTTCTACCTGTCAAACATTTAAACTAGACCCATATCTTTCACCATGCAGTAAACTAAAATCAAAATGGATCAAAGATCTAAATATTAAAACAGAAACTGTTTTAAATCTGCTGGAAGACAGAATAGGTAGAACTCTCAAAGACATTGGTGTAGGCAAAGACTTCATGAACAAAACCCCAATCACAAAGAAACTATCACAAAGATTAACAAGTGAAATCTCATCCTATTAAAAAGCTTTTGCACAGCAAGAAACCACCAAACAAACCAGTGTGAGGAAAAAATTTTTGCCAGGTGTTCCTCAGACAAAGGACCACTATCTATAATATATAAAGAATTCAAAAAAACCAGACCCCCTTCCAAAAAAATTTAAAGAACCAATCCAAAAATGGGCATCTGAAATGAATACACTTCTCAGATGATAAAGTAAAAACAGCAAATAGATATATGAAAGAATGTTCAACATCACTGGTCATTCGAGAGATGCAAATGAAAACAACGCTGAGATTCCACTTCACTCCAGAAAGAATGGCTGCTATCATGAATTCAAGCAGTAACAGACGCTAGTGAGGCTGTGAGGAGAAAGGAACCCTGCTCCACTGCTGGTGGGAGTGCAGCCTGGTGCAACCACTGTGGAAATCAGTATGGCGATACCTCAAAGAACTAAAATGAGAGGATCCGTTTGACTCAGCTATTCCACTTCTTGGTATCTTCCTGAAAAAATTAAAAGCATTATACCACAGAAGTATATGCACACCCATGTTTATAGCAGCACAGTTTGTAATAGCTAAAGCTTGGAAACAGCCCAAATGCCCAATCGACTGACAAATGGATACAGAAAATGTGGTTTTTTTATACAATGGAGTACTACTCTGCCAAAAAGGATGAGCTTGAGACATTTGTAGCTAAATGGATGGACCTTGAGACCATACTCAACTGAAATAAATCGGACACACGTGTTTAAATACCGCATTGCTTCTCTGGTGTGAGAAACCAAAGTGGAAATAAGGACTGAGATGTGTAACAGATATTGGGGAAAGGGAAGAAAATGTTCAAATGGGAAGGGGAAGAGGGGGGTAGGGAAAGGAAAAAAGGGACAAGAAAACAAGTGAAACTAGAAGGAAAAAATAGAAACGAAGCTTTTGTAAATAAGGAGGGGAACAGAGGCCATAGGGAGCAGATGGGGAAAAAAGAAGCATGTACAGGTACACATTCCCCACCATGAATGTTTTCACTATGTATATGTAAAATGCATCAATGTTTTGCTTCAAAAAAATTGTATTTGAAATTATATCTGAAATTATATTTGAGACAATTTAGCTAGCCCACTTTCAATGTGTCGTTTTTGGGAGCATTTTTAGAAACATTTCAATTATCTCTGGGGCAGCACTCTGCCTATCCTCCAAAGAGGGACTGACCGATACAAACCAGAAGAGGGGATGAGGGAAAACAGAAAACTAGGAAACAGAAGGAATCCAAAGACCTGACTCCTTTAAATCAAGACTTTCCATGGCTCTCTTAATGCCAGCTAAAGAATATAATTAAAAGTGCTTTAACTTAACATAAAAATAAATCATTTTGGTAAATCAGTAAAATTTAATAGGCATCTTTGTAACACTGAAAGCATTCCTCCTTTTCCAAAACTAAAAACATCAGAGAAAGCCCTAAGACGCGAGAGTAAGAAGCAGGCATTCCCGAGTTGGTTAAACATTAGTGACTAGCAGATGTAAGAGCCACTGCATCTTGGCAAAGGGAGAGGCTGTATCTACTCTTCACACCTTCTCAGCACGCATAAAGCATCCAGAGAACAGCCCTCTGAGGGGGTGCTGGGTCCTACATGCCACTTTGACCGGGTCCTCCAAAACTGAAGGACGTGTGCTTATGAAGGATGTGACACAGAGCTAAGGAGGAGGCTGGGAGTAAAGCTCAGGGGTTGACCACTCCGCCTCACATGCACAAGCCCTTGAATTCTACCCTCAGCACGGAAAATTAAAAAGACAAAAGGACTGAGTCCTCTGGTCATTTGTGGCCTATGTGTGGCCTAACCTTTTCTCTACAATGTGTAGAAATGGGTCAAAAGATGGGAAATGTGGTAATATAAATTATTTAATAATCATACAGATGGTCTCATTAGCTCCAGCACAAGAGAAAGTGAAGCACATTTAAATCTAGAATAAATGTTTGTCCTAGTGAAAAGAAATCCCTGCCTCATCACTGACAAAATACTTGAAAGAACACTCAGAATATTTGCCCTGGCATTTGGGACACTTGGTGGTATCAGCGTCCCAGTCAGCCTTAATGACCTCAGTCTTTGCTGCAGACCTCAAACGCCTCTACCACTGCCACCCTGGTCATTCTGTTTACAGACTGCTCGGACAGGAAGTGGGGGCTGGGGGACAGACTGACATTCTCAGGGCTGAGGTTATACCTGGTCACTGATACCTACTCGAGAGTGCGCCTCTGGGTCGGCACTCACGTGGGACACTGTTCTGATCCTCTGGGACCATTCTAGGAAATTCAACCACATCACTTTGTCCCCATAACTTGTTGTCAACAAACCTCCATCGTGGTCCATTTCAAATCCCAGTCCATCCAGAGAAACCACTAGCCACACACGGGTCAGTGAGGTCAGCATCTTACATCAGTCTCCTTCCAGGAAAAGAGAGAAACAATGCTCCAGAATCTGCCCAGGGGCAGGGATTCTCCTCCTGCTCAATTCGCCCACTGTGTCTACCCCTGCTGTAATAATGGTGGCAGAAGCAATGGCTCCCATTCGTTGAATGCTTACTGCATGCAGGCCATTATTCTAAGTATATTAAAAATATTAACTTGAGGCAGTACTACATTCCCACTTTTAATAAGGGGCAGAAAAAAAGCCAAAGAAAATAATTTGCCAATGCTTTGTAGTACATGGCAGGGACAACTTTGAAACCTGGACAGTCTCACTCAATGATTCACAAAAAATTCCTCATGTCATTTAATCACAATGCTCAGTAGAAATACTGGAATGTGGGCCCCTTACTTGCTCTAGCAATTCTTTTCTCCTTCAGTAACCACTCAGGCTGGGTCTTCCCTATGACGATCAAGTGCTGATATCTATGTACTTCATGAGGCTGTAGACCTAATATAAGCTTATAAGCTAATAACTTGCAAGTAACAGTGGGAAGGATGGACCTGCTCCTCTGCCTGTCCAGTGTCCAGTGCAGGTTCTATAATAAATGACTACAGGTACATTTCAAGTTCGGGAAGAATCCAGATTTTTTAATATTAAAATTTAAAAATTCAACTACACTTCCATGTGCAGAATGCAAATAATGCAGACTCTAAACAGGGTTTATACATATATATATATCTGGAGGACAATATCAGGAAAAGTGACACTCCAAATTAAAATGTCATTCAAATTAATGGATAGTTGGTAAATATTTTATTGTTACATATATGCTCAACATATTATCAAAAACTGAAGATAAAATTTGAGGAAAATGTGTATTATTAAGCTAATTTCAGCACATCAAAGGTAATGGTTTGAAGGATAGATAGCTGCATGGTATCAAGATCTAGGACCACCTACTTTTCAGTGGACATTGTGAATACATCTCTGTCTACCCAGGGCAGTGGGTATTTTATTACAATAACAATTGCAGATTAGTTTTGTTTTAATATGTGCATAGGAAAAAAGGAAATATCAGTTGGAATAGCTTAGGGGGGAAGGGTTCCTTAAAAAAGTTGTTTCTATTTCATTTAAGGCTATGCCCTATATAGGCCTCATTTTGGCTTGTCATCAGTAGGGAAGACTTATAGTATTATGAATGAAACCTACTCACTTATTTTGTGATACCTACCTCCCTACCTCTCTATATAAAATACATCACAATGTTCATTCTTTTAAAGGACTATGATTGTTTATCTTTGAAGGAATTCTTTTAGAGCTGATTAGCAATGGGTTGAATTGACATTTAGTTTTTCAAGCAAAGGATTAAACTCCCTTTTGTGCGTGTGCATGTGCGCCCACTGGATATTGAACTCTCATGCTGTACCGCTGGGCTGTTCCCCAAACTCCAGTACCCTCATCCTTGAGGAGACTCTACCAAGATGCAAACAACCCAAAAGGTGAATGTCTGGTTTACTTACCACTTAGGCGGTGTAGTCTAAGGAATAGAATGAGCAGGGTTCTTTTCCCAAACTTGCGTCTTTATACATTTTCACCTGTGGCTGGACTGCATATTTGTGAGTCGTCCATCTTTTTCCCCCCAAAGTCTGCTTCTTACAGATACCTTTATCCTGTAAGACAAAGAAACAAACAAACAAGGATTAGCTTGAAAACGATCGTCTGATTATCTGGAGTAATGGAAATTATCAGAGGCTCAAGTGACATAACAATTATATGATGATGACATTTATGTTGTTTAGTCACAGGTCTGTTATGTCATTAGTGTAGGATGTCAACTGTAGTAAGAGAAAAAACGTTTTGCCTTTTCTTTTCCCTTGCTCATTTTGTCTTTAATGTTCATTTCTACAGGAAAGTACATACAACAAAGGGCAGAGACGCTCAACTGGATGTACACAAGAAAAGTGCAGCTGAATATACGGAGGCCAATTCGAAAAAATGGACGAGGGCCAGGGATTTAGCTCAGTGGCACTGGTGCCTGTCTTGCAAGCACAGGTCCTGAGTTCGATCCCCGGTACAAAACCAACAAACCATCCAGTCAAAAGCTGGGCGAGGTGTTAGAGCTCAAATCAAGTAGAAATTTCAGAGCAGTAAGATGGATTACGTGGGCTCTGAAAAAGTGGTAAGACTTCACAGTAAGCTGAAGAAAATACTTGTTTAGATACTTACTTAAATTAGGCTACAACTTAAAATGCTTTATTTCCCTTTTAAACCAAAACCAGTCCTGGAAGCTTCCAAACGGTTGTTCAACTCTTTTTCTCCCCCTGAAAATAGACACACCTTTGAAGCTGTAATCTAGAAAGGTTATCTTGGGGGTGACTGGTTCTCATTTAAGACCACCTGAATGACTCAGAACTTGTCTTCCCTCAGATTTCAAGCACAATCATAAAACTTAAAATCCCAACAAGAGTCCCTGTAAAATCAGGCGGACTTGTCTCCAGAGCCGGGAGTCTCCGCGGCCGCAGCCGCACTGCAGCCCGGGCGCGCGGCTGGGACCCAGCTGCACATAAGGGGCTGATCTTTCCCCGACCAAAGACTGAGCCCTTCGCATTCCCGTATCTTTAACAAAAAGCAAGAGGCAATCAATCTCATCTTGAAAGAAATAGTGTTGAACCGAAAGGGAAAGAAAAAGACCCTCAACTCGCAGCCGCTTGAGTTTGCTCGCTGAGCTGGCTGGGCGGGACGCTTGGCTCCCACTTCCGGGACGTGGCGACCAATTCAGGCCTGGCCAGAAGAACCGCCCAGAGAACCGCGACCACCAATCACAACACGGAGGAGTTGCCCGGGAAATTCAAACTGCCCACTAAGGCCAGCGCCCAGCGAGGAACGCCTGGTTGTACTAGCCAAGTGGCCAACGCCCAGGGAATGAACTCACATCCCGTCCCACGGTACTGGTCTGCTCGTGAGTGAGGACACAGAAACACCGCCACCCCAAAGATCGGCACAGAAGACAAATGGCAGCCCTCTCTCTGAGGAGATGGTGGCTCTGAAAAGAGCCTTTGTGGGCAGCGTGAGACTCACTCGCGGGCTCACTTGGCGCTGGTGTACTTGGTGACGGCCTTGGTGCCCTCCGACACGGCGTGCTTCGCCAGCTCGCCAGGCAGCAGCAGCCGCACGGCCGTCTGGATCTCCCGCGACGTGATGGTCGAGCGCTTGTTGTAGTGCGCCAGGCGCGACGCCTCGCCCGCAATGCGCTCGAAGATGTCGTTCACGAAAGAGTTCATGATGCCCATAGCCTTAGACGAGATGCCCGTGTCCGGGTGCACCTGCTTCAGCACCTTATACACGTACACCGAGTAGCTCTCCTTGCGGCTACGCTTGCGCTTCTTGCCATCCTTCTTCTGCACCTTGGTCACCGCCTTCTTCGACCCCTTCTTCGGGACAGGCACCGACTTCGACGGCTCCGGCATCTTGGACCGAGAAGCAGAGCAATGAGGAGCCAGCCAACCCGCGCTGCCTTATCTAGAGAGCGATACGCAAATGAGGCGCGGAGAAGGTCTGCGGCGATTGGTGATTGCGCTTCTGTGACGTCACAATCCAGGCTCGCCCGTTGAATTTTTCGCGGCCCGCACGGCCGCCTTCCATTGGTCTAAACCAAAATGAAAAATGGCCAATCGCAGGGCTGCCTTTTCGCACCCCGACGACGCCCTAAAGAGCGCTTTCTGTCCCTCTCGGGACACTGGTGAGTGACTCCACCGCTGGGCTTTTGAACATGTCTGGACGCGGCAAACAGGGCGGTAAGGCTCGCGCCAAGGCGAAGACGCGTTCGTCCCGTGCCGGGCTGCAGTTCCCGGTGGGGCGCGTGCACCGCCTGCTGCGCAAAGGCAACTACGCTGAGCGCGTGGGCGCCGGCGCCCCGGTGTACATGGCGGCCGTGCTCGAGTACCTGACGGCCGAGATCCTGGAGCTGGCGGGCAACGCGGCGCGCGACAACAAGAAGACGCGCATCATCCCGCGCCACCTGCAGCTGGCCATCCGCAACGACGAGGAGCTCAACAAGCTGCTGGGCAAGGTGACGATCGCGCAGGGCGGCGTGCTGCCCAACATCCAGGCCGTGCTGCTGCCCAAGAAGACCGAGAGCCACCACAAGACCAAGGGCAAGTGAGGTCCGCAGGACTTGGAAACTCAAATTTTCTATTAAACCAAAAGGCTCTTTTCAGAGCCACCCACATTTTCAGCAAAAGAACTTAATATTTCTTGGCCCTTTGTCCTGATTCAACTTCAGTCTTATTGACAGCTAGGAAATATCCATGCCCTTTTTTTTCTACTTTGCTAAAACTACTTCCGATGCTAGTATAAATGAGGTTCTGGAGTATAAAAAGGCTGACAGCATGTAGCATTGGTAAAGGCACTTTGCCACCCCTTCCTGTACACTACTCCAGCGTTATGTTTTGTAGATTTTCAGAAGCTATGCGACTCATAATTTGTCCTTAGTCCTTGAATGTCATCCAAGTTATTAAATTTAACGTGCAAGGATTAGATGGTGCGTTTTGCAAGTTTGTAGGCAGATTTGTTGCATAATGTGAAAGTACGTAAGAGTGGAGAAAAATACTGAACTATTTATCTTGTAGGTGCTCTATTAGGACTAAGCCTCTGGGAGTCTGAGGGAACAGGATCCAAAGTCAAACCCAGTGTAGGCAACTTAGCAAGACCATGTATCAAAATACAAAATAAAACGCTGCCTGGAGATGTAACTCTTTGTGAAAGCCCTGTGTTCAATCCCCGGTACCAGAAAAAGTTGAATACCATCACCTTTGTTAAATTACATATTCTATGTTTATACAAAAATTAAACACTCCAGCTATTCAATTTGAGACACTAAAGAATCTGACAAACTTCAGGTATTCATTATAGGAAAGACAAAATTCTACCTGTATCCTCAGGGTTTTTGGTGACTGGGCCTCAGAATTAAACTGACAGAACATTAACAAGAGAAAACCATCCAAATGAATTTAAACTTTATGGGACACAGGCACCCTACTAAGAAATGGAAGAGCTGCCTGGGTTTTAGCTTAGTTGGGCTGCGCCCGCCTGGCAAGGTTGTGAGTTCGACCCCACCACCACCACCTACCAGAAAGAAAGAAAATGAAGACCTAAAGAAGTAGCAAACACTAAATGCCACTTTAATAGAGAAAACTAAAACATCCGTGAAGGAGCAACAAAGTTTGTGGGCAGGCTAAAGGATAGTAAAAATCTTAGTGACAGGGTCTGCTTGTACAGAATTCCTTTCTGTTCAGTTTCTGTCCTGTTGGTTGCTGCCCTTGTCATCATGGACTGCTTCAAAAAAACGTGTGGATTCAGATGAGGGAGCTTTCTGTCATGAAATTTTACTAATTTTTAAAGTATAAATGTCATTTAAAATGTTCTCCGAGTAACAACTGATGCTGAGAAAATAAAATTAAAATCGCCTCCAAATCGAATAAGCATTAAACCAGGGAATGAAACATCACAGGCAATCTTATAACGAGATTGCAAAAGCAGAAAGAAATCTTGCTCTTCCGAGCAGCTACACTAGAGGGGTTTTGTGTTTGGCCTTTTGGCTGTCATGCCCGCCTCCTCCTGGGCCAGGGACACGGGCCCGCCTTCCATGTTGGTCACTGCATTGCAGACATGGCCCTCCGGTTTCTGAAGAGACATCCCAGTTTAGTCGGAAAAGGCTGAGTCAGCCATTCAAAGGATTTACTTATATATGAAAAAGGTAAGGAAAGAAATTCTGAAGGAGAGACAGGAAAGACAGGGAAGACTCTTCTGTTGGCACCAGAGAACTAAGGCTTTTATTTTTAATTCAGCGTTGCCCTTGCCCTAGCTTGGTCCATGAACCTGTACTACGGACTCCTTCAACCACTGATACTGAATTCAGCTGCTGCTATCTGAATCCCTTTAGCTTTGTTTTTCAAAAAGTGTTTGGGAAGTTCTTTTTTATTGCAACTTAACTATGGAAAACTTTTGAAAAATTTTATTGAAAAGCCTATCTTCATTTTCTTATACATTTATTTTATGAAATTAAAGTGGAAAACCTTGGAAATGCTGTAATGCAAGCATAAGGAAATCATTACAAAAAAGTAGCAAGAAAATCGTCAAGCAATGGAGATTGCACACAGATGTCGGGAAAAGTCATTAAAATGCCTTCGAATGTAAGCAAAGTAAATTTTCTTAAAACAAGTATATGCAACCAAAAATATGAGGTATACAGTAATTATTTTAATGAAAAGCTTTCCTAAAGCATACCCTTTTCCTTGTGTTCTATTTACATAATGAGTTAATTGTTTTTGTAATAAATCTGTAAAGTTTTAACATTCTAAAAGAGTTCTTTGTTGTAACTGCATGAGTTGTAATTTCAATAATAAATGATAACAGACTATTGAATAATTATAAGCTGTGAATTACACGGGAAAGCACTGTCTTCAGCATTACCAATAATTGTAACATTTCAGCACTACACGTAGACTGATCAGAGGAATAATAAAAAATTTTAAAATAACTTTAGGTGAAATGTTCAATGTGATAGATAGTTCTTCAGATCTGTGAGAGTAGTATTTAATATATTGCACTTGTTAACCGGATGGTTAAATTTCTTAAAAGTTAATTCTCTATGCAGAGAATCAGGTGTGAGCTATTAGTTTTTTTTAACGGTTTCACCCGGCATTAGTAAGGTTGAAGGCCTGACAGAAAGTGCTTTTGCGCAAACTTATCTTTGGCGGAAGAGAATTTAGCAATACACCTGAAAGATCTTAAAAGTTTGTGTTCATATATCCGTCTTGTTCTGTTTCTAGGAAGTCACCGAATTTCCACTGTGTATTAGGGGAAAGCAGTTACCAGTAGCATAATCTTAAACACTGTTGAAAACACATGTGCACATGTAGAAGTAAAAACAATATTTTACTTCTTGGATTTTATGTAATTTCAATAATGTGAAATTTCTGTTGTTTAACGAACAGAGGTGGAATCACATTAAATGAAAAACAAAAATAGCCTCGGATCCAGAAGATTAAAGGTGAACACTCACAATGAGTCCAACACGCAGGCGCGTTCGGCTTCTGGGCCCCTCCCCCCGGACGGGCTTCCCGCCTCCCGCCGCAGTCCTCACGCAGGTCCGCAGGCACACTAGAAAAAGGAGCGGCTCCACGCTTCCCTGTCTTGCTCACCATCATGTCTGGACGTGGCAAGGGCGGAAAGGGCTTAGGAAAGGGTGGTGCTAAGCGCCACCGTAAGGTGTTGCGTGACAACATCCAGGGCATCACCAAGCCCGCCATCCGCCGCCTGGCGCGGCGCGGCGGTGTCAAGCGCATTTCCGGCCTTATCTATGAGGAGACGCGCGGGGTGCTGAAGGTCTTCCTGGAGAATGTGATCCGTGACGCCGTTACTTACACGGAGCACGCCAAGCGGAAGACGGTCACGGCCATGGACGTGGTCTACGCGCTCAAGCGCCAGGGCCGCACGCTGTACGGCTTCGGCGGCTGAGCGCCCGCCACCCCTCCCCGCACGCGCAACATAAAGGCCCTTCTCAGGGCCGCCACCTCTTCCTGGGAGAGCTGTGATTGCTGACTAGCCCATCTTTCTGGTGCGCTTTTAATTTGGCTCGATTTGAGGGCTAAGGTGTTAGCCGCTAGGTTTTCCCTTATCGTTCCTGGCGGCTGGTTTGTCTAGCATAGAGCTGCAGGCCCCAGAGCTGGGCTCTGGTCGCCCGACTTCACACCACCTTGCAGACCGTGAGGAGGGGAACACTGTCCTCGGGCAAGCCTTGCAACCCAGTTGCAGTGATTCAAGTATATACGTGCCGATTTTGCAGCAGTGGTCTTTAAAAACAACTGACCTGAAAGTGAAATTCATTTCTGCCACAGGGTGTTTTAGGCAAACTACCCAAATCTTGCGTAGCTGGAGTTTAGTATGGTAGTGGAGAAAACATAGTAATGTGATGTATTTTTAATTTCCCACTTTTCCATAAAATCTAAATAAGTGCCACTACTGATACTTTACTCCCCTCAGCTGTTGGAGTTATTCCGATTTTGCTATCTTAACACCATCAGGTGTTAGACATGAGTGGAAGATGTCTTTGGGAAACCACTCTAGAAAGCTCAAATTATGCCACATCCTCTATTCTCCCAATGCTTGTTCCCTTTGGAAAATAACTCGAAATTTCTCCCATTTACTTGTAGGTTACTTTCCACATTTGACAATGCGCCTAGTAGAATCTACCTTCTGGATCTGCATAAATGAGTTAACATACCACAGCATACACATGGGCTAGTACTAGGTTATATTGATACACTCAAGTGTTAATCATTTATTTCTTAAAATAATCGATGAGCTACTTGTAGAGGAAGACAGAACCCTTAAGACAGACACTGCTAATCCCCACACTTATCGCAAGGCAAGCAATTCATTACATACGGTCAATATTCCCCCCAAAACGAGCACCCTAATAAAACCACCTACAAATACGTGCATACATACATGCATACATGTGTCTGTAAATTGCATTAATCCCTTTTCTTATGAATCTGGCCTTCACTTCTAAATGTGGCCGAGGTCACAGCCGAGTTTAGGATTAGTTAGCGCTTCTTTTCGACCAAAGTTCAGCTCACTACTGGCACCCACGGCCCATGTCGTTCCCAGCCAAAACAAAGATCCCCACCTACTGCTCAGCCGACCCCCGCCCAACTTTGCGCCTCAGTGAAAGTCTAGTCCTGCTGTTGTCTTTAGACTCCAACTTCCGTAATCTTTGCAGTGCTTGTCAAGTGAGGAGCCCGATTGGAATCTGATCACGAAGAATTCCTGTTTTAAACTGGCCAAGTGACACTCGACCCCACTTGTTTCTCTGCTCAAGACTAAAGCTGCTCAGCTCCCAGGCTCCTTCCTGCTCGGTCCTCCCTCCGGCATCTTCCCGACCTACTTGGGAATGGCAAAGGAAACGCAAGCGGGGCCCGAGGATTTAGCCCAGTGGCGCCCCGCCGTTCAAGTCCCACATTCGGCCAATTGAACGGCCTCACCCGCATTGTAATTTTACTCCAGCTGCCTAGAGCTGCGGGGACGCAGCCGAGGAGACCAAGGGAGGCCACTGTGCTCACCATGCACTGCGCACCGGGGAGGAAAACGGATGCGCAACGCAGTAATCAGGGCTCAAGCAGCAAGCCACACCACTTGCAGCTAATTTTGCTACAACAGCAAATTAATATGTACGCCCTGAATAACCCAGCCGTTGCAAGCACCACGCTTAGACAGCAGCATTCCCTTTATCCGGTCACAGAGCTCTGTACTCCGAACGAACCACAGCTTACACCCCACGTGTACAGCACCCAATATTGACAGCCTTAAGTGGCTCTGAAAAGAGCCTTTGGGGGCAGCGAGACCCTCACTCGCGGGCTCACTTAGCACTGGTGTACTTGGTGACGGCCTTGGTGCCCTCCGACACGGCATGCTTCGCCAGCTCGCCAGGCAGCAGCAGCCGCACGGCCGTCTGGATCTCCCGCGACGTGATGGTCGAGCGCTTGTTGTAGTGCGCCAAACGCGACGCCTCGCCCGCGATGCGCTCGAAGATGTCGTTCACGAACGAGTTCATGATGCCCATGGCCTTGGACGAGATGCCCGTGTCCGGGTGCACCTGCTTCAGCACCTTATACACATACACCGAGTAGCTCTCCTTACGACTGCGCTTGCGCTTCTTGCCATCCTTCTTCTGCGCCTTGGTCACCGCTTTCTTCGACCCCTTCTTCGGAGCCGGCGCCGACTTCGCGGGCTCAGGCATACCGGTAACACACACGCAACCCCACAACCAACCAAGGAGCGAGAAAGAACGCGAGGTATCCTTCTTATATAGAACGTGGTATGCAAATTAAGTGAAGTGTCAAGGCCTCATGTGTGATTGGTGGTTACACAGAGAGACGTTAGGGATTACTCTTAGCCAATCAGAATGTACAAATTCCAACGAAGTATTGCTATTGGTTTAAATAAAGATACAATTTTAACCAATGACACGTCTTCCTTTTTCGCGCCCAAGAATGGCTATAAAAAGTGCTCCCCACGCGCTTTCATTTAGGGAAAAATCTTGATCGTGTATTTGCTCCGTGATGTCTGGACGTGGCAAGCAGGGCGGTAAGGCTCGAGCCAAAGCGAAGACACGTTCGTCTCGCGCCGGGCTTCAGTTCCCGGTGGGGCGCGTGCACCGCCTGCTGCGCAAAGGCAACTATGCTGAGCGCGTGGGCGCCGGCGCCCCGGTGTACCTGGCGGCCGTGCTCGAGTACCTGACGGCTGAGATCCTGGAGCTGGCGGGCAACGCGGCGCGCGACAACAAGAAGACGCGCATCATCCCGCGCCA